CATTTTTACTCTTGCCCCACCTCCTCCTCAGTGTAGTGGCAGTCTTGAAGGATATCTACATTCTGAGAATGGGACACCGGTTCTGGAGGGGGTGGAGCATACCCAGGGAAGACACAAGCTCCAAAAACACACAAGACCCCCGAACTTTCACCTTGGGCTGATTCCCTAGGCTCAGTGCAAGTCTGGCTAAGAACGGAAGAACTGCCTCCGCACTGAACCAATGTTCCAAGACAAAAAGGTGCTTTTTTTGGTTTCTTTTTGTTGTTTTTTTTAGCTCCTGACATGCAAGGAAATCTGTCAAAATGCTAACTGAAAACAAGCTAAAGCACAGAGACACAGATGACCACACACAACAAGGCATATAGTCTTTACAAAAATAGTCTGGCAAAGTTAGTAAACAAATGGACTATTACAGCCTTCAACAATCAAAAAAAAAAAATGGTAAACTGGGATGCCTGGATGGCTCAGTTCATTAAGTGTCTGCCTTCGGCTCTGGTTATGATCCCAGGATCCTGGGATGGAGCCCCACATCGGGCTCCTTGCTCAGTGGGGAGCCTGCTTCTCCCTCTGCCTGCCACTCCCCGCCCCCCCCCCAGCTTGTGTGCTCTCTCTCTCTGACAAATAAATAAATTAAATCTTTAAGAAAAAAAAGGAAAGAAAAAAAGGTAAATTCTGGGGAAAGGGAAGACTGACTTACAGTATCACCACACTGTTACAGTCAAATGTCCAATTTTCGGGCGCCTGGGTGGCTCAGTTGGTTAAGCGACTGCCTTCAGCTCAGGTCATGATCCTGGAGTCCCAGGATCGAGTCCCACATCAGGCTCCCTGTTCAGCAGGGAGTCTGCTTCTCTCTCTGACCCTCCCCCCTCTCATGCTCTCTCTATCTCATTCTCTCTCTCAAATAAATAAATAAAATCTTCAAAAAAAAAAAAGAAAAAAAAAACAAATGTCCAATTTTCTCAAAAAAAAAAACACAAGGCATACAAAGAAACAAGAAAGTATGGACAATTCAAAGGAACAAAATAAACTAATAGAAACCATTTTTGAGGAGGTCCAGACATCAGATTTACTACCTAAAAACTTTAAAACAGCCATTTTATCAACAAATGGCACTGGGAAAACTGGGTATCTACATGTAAAAAAATGAAGTTGGACCCTTACCCCATACCATATTTAAAAAATTAACTCAAAATGAATTGAAGACCTAAATATAAGACCTATAAAGTTCCTAGAAGAAAACAGGAAAAAAGCTTCATGACATTGAAATTTAGCAAAGATTTCTTGGCTATGACACCAAAAGCACAAGCAACAAAAGCAAAAATAGACAAATAGGACTACATCAAACTTAAAAACTACTGTGCAGCAAAGGACACAATCAGCAGAGTGAAATGTCAACCTATGGTATGGGAGAAAATATTTCAAATCATATCTGATAAGGAGTTAACATCTAGAATATATAAAGAACACCAACAACTCAACAATAACAAAAAACCAAATAACCCAATTAAAAAATGAGCAGAAAAAGACTTGAATAAACATTTCTCCAAAGAAAATATACAAATGGCAAAAAAACCACATGAAAAGATGTTCAACATCATTAGTCATTAGGGAAATACAAATCAAAACCACAATGAGACAGCATCTCATACCTATTAGGATGGCTCCATTAAAAAAAAACAAAACAGGGGTGCCTGGGTGGCTCAGTGGGTTAAGCGTCTGCTTTCAGCTCAGGTCATGATCCCAGTGTCCTGGGATCAAGCCCCATGTCTGGCTCCCTGCTCAGCAGGGAGCCTGCTTCTCCCTCTCCCTCTGCTGCTCCCACTGCTTGTGCTCTCTCACGCTCTTTCTCTCAGATAAATAAATAAAATCTTTAAAAAAAAAAAAGCAAAACCCAGAAAGTAAGAAAGTAACAAGTGCTGACAAGGATATGGAAGAATGGAGTCCTTGCACATTGCTGGTGGTAATGTAAGAGTACAGCAGTCCCTCAAAAAAACCCCATAGAATTAGCATATGATCCAGCAATTCCCTTCTGGGTACATACTCAAAGAAGTTGAAAACAGGAACTCAAAAAAATACTTGTACACCACTGTTCACAGCAGCATTACTCACAATAGCCAGAAGGTATAAATAACCCAAGTGTCCACTAATAAACAAAATGTGGTAAATACATTCAAGGGAATATTCAGCCATAGAAAAGAACGAAACTCTTTTTTTTTTTTTTTTTTTTAAGTAAGCACCATGCTGGGCATGGAGCCCAACGAGGGGCTTGAACTCATGACCCTGAGATCAAGACCTGAGCTGAGATCAAGGGCTGGATGCTTAACCAACTGAGCCACCCAGGCGCCCCAGAAAGGAATGAAATTCTAACACATGCTACAATATGGATGAACCTTAAAGACATCTAAGTGAAATAAGCAAGACACAAAAGGACAAATACTATGATTCTGCTTATATGAGATACCTAAAGTGGTCAAATTCATAGAAACAGGAAGTAGAATGGTGGTTAAAAGGGCTGGAGGGAGAAGGAACTGGAGAGTTACTATTTAATGGGTATGGAGTTTCAGTTTGGGAAGATGTAAAGAGTTCTGGAGAAGGATGGTGGTGATGATTGTACACCTGTGTGACTATACTTAATGCCACTGAACTGTACACTTAAAAACAGTGGAAATGGTAAATTTTGTGATGCATACTCTACCACAATTAAAAAGACACAGACACTAGAAAAATAAATTAAAAATAATAAATTAATTAATTAAAAAGACACAGATACTAAGATACCACTTCACACCTACTAGGATGGCTATTTTAAAAATAAAAATAAAAAACACCAAAAAACCAGAAGATAAGTGTTGGTGAGGATGTGGAGAAACTGGAACCATTATACATTGCAGGTGGGAATGCAGAATGGCACAGCCCCGTGGAAAAGTTTGGCAGTTCCTCAAAAAGTTAAACATAGAATTACCATATGAGGAATGCCTGGGTGGCTCAGTCGGTTAAGCGTCTGCCTTCAGCTCAGGTCACGATCCCAGAGTCCTGGGATTGAGTCCCGCACTGGGCTCCTTGCTCAGCGGGGAGCCTGCTTCTCCCTCTGCCTGCTCTGCCTGTTCTGCCTGCAGCTCTCCCTGCTTGTGCTCTGACAAATAAATAAAATCTTTTTAAAAGAATTTATCCTTTCTACCTTTATTAAAAAAAAAAAAAAAGAATTACCATATGATCCAGCACTTCCACTCCTAGGGTACATACATACACAAAAGAACAGGAAATGTTCAAATACTTATACATGAATATTTATATCAGCACTATTCAAATAGCCAAAAGATGTAAACAACTCAAATGTCCATCAATGGATGAAGATATAAACAAAATACAATACAATCCATAAAATAAAACATTATTCAGCTCTATAAAGGAATGAAGGACTAATACATGTTACAACCGTGTATAACCGTGGAAACAACAACTGAAAGAAGTCGGACACAACAGATCACATAATGTATGAATACACTTGTATGAAATATCTAGAACAAGCAATTTCACAGACACAAAGTCAACAGACACTTGGGAAGAAAGGATGGGAAAGGAGAAAAATGGAGAGTCACTGCCTAATGGTTAAAGAATTTGGGGTGATGAAAAAGTTTTGGAAACATAGTGATGATGGTTGTACATTGTGAATATAATTACTGCCATTGAATTGTGCACTTAAAAGGTTAAAATGGCAAATTTTATGCTATATAAGAGCGCCTGGATGGCTTAGTCGTTGGGCGTCTGCCTTTGGCTCAGGTCATGATCCCGGGGTCCCGGGATCGAGCCCCACATCGGGCTCCCTGCTCAGCGGGAAGCCTGCTTCTCATTCTCCCACTCTCCCTGCTTGTGTGCCTTCTCTCGTTATCTCTCTGTCAAATAAATAAATCTTAAAAAAAAAAAAAAAATTTATGCTATATATATTTTACAATTCTGAAAAACCTAATGATGTGAAATACCAAAACCAGTGAACTGTACACTTAAAATGTATCAATTCTATGTGCAGATATCAATAAAGCAGTTTTAATAAAGTGTAACTACTGTTGAAAACATCATTAAATGGCAAATATGTTATATATATTTAGCACAATAAAAGTAATTCCCAAAAAAAGGCAGGTACACCAGAGCACAGGCACCATATTCAAAGCCTAGACAAGAAACACTGCTCGGCTTATTGATCACATTAAGTGTGCTAGAGTCAAGTGTTCAGTATGGGGCACAGTGAATAGCTGCTGAGTCTACAGGATGGAGGGCTTTAAATAAGAATAACTGAACTAGATGGAACTGGTCACTGAAAGCTAGTTGAGGTTCACCGCATGCTTAAGGGAAGAATTAAATGAATGGAGATGTAGTGCTGTAATCAAGTAAGTTAAGGAAATAACTGGGGCTTCTGGGTGGCTCAGCTGGATAAGCCACTGCCTTCAGCTCGGGTCATGGTCCCGGGGTCCTGGGATCAAGTCCCCCATCAGGCTCCCCCTGCTCTGCAGGGAGCCTGCTTCTTCCTCTCCCTCTGCCTGCTGCTCCCCCTGCCTGTGTTCTGTGTGTGCGCGTAAATAAATAAATAAATAAATAAAATCTTTTTAAAAAAAGAACTGAAAGTTCTTTATGGAGTTCAGTAATACAGGAATCCAGTGCTTTTTGTACTTCTGGGGTTGCTCTACTGACTACTGCTTATCTGTGAATATTTATATAACTTTCACATGACTGAAGGCTCCATGTGGGCCATTCTTCTGGGTTTGTTTCTTTGTTGTCATTTTCAACCCAACAAACAACTGAACACAGCCTGGTCATTCTAACAATGAACAAAATGTTACCATCGACCTCAATCAACATGTTGGGGCCCATAAAACCCAAATCCCCGAGAAAAATTTAGACAAGTATTAATCGGCTTTTTATCCTTTTCGAAAATGGATTAGCGGTGATTCACTTTTTAAAGGATTTTGATTTTTCAGACAACACGCACGCTGGGTTTTACTCACCGATTTCCTCTGATTCCTGCCCAGAAACTCTAAGCTTGCATTCCTTTGGATAGTGTTTTTGGATTAATTCCCACAGTTCCATGTTGACAAGAGAATTTCTTCGGGTATGGTATCGGGTCCACGAAGAGACCCGGCGGCGACAGAAGGGACAGCATAAACTCGCCTTTTCGACAGTCGATTGGAAGCATGGGTTACAGAGCGTGTGGTTACAAGGCAGTGTTACGGGCTCGATTAGGATTTCCACACAGATGCGGCACTGGCATTCCGACAAGGAGGGGATGGCGGTTTTGGGTACAGCCATTTTAATATGCTAAAAAGGCATGCTCAATATCAATACCTGAAAGAGAGAGAATCTTATTTCCGGCCCAACTACGAAGAAAGGAAATAAACACCTTTGTGTTTAATATTATGCCCAGCAGCGTATCAGAATTCAGAGACTGGGAGCATCACACAACGTCTTGAAGCAAAAAGGCGCTCTGCGATCCAGGGAAACAGGACTACTCTGGAAGGCGGCGTATTTATCCATGTTTAAGACAAATGTCGGGTAAGGAAACGAACCTTTCCGTCGGGAGACCTAGGCTGCTCCGAGGCATTAACACAACCGTTGTGGCAAGGCTGGCAGTGCGCTCCAGCTCTCCCGCGCGGCGGGAGGTACGCGCCAAGTTCCCCTCCTCCCTCTTACCAGCTGAGGGTGCTCCCTTAGCTCCCGGCAGCCAAGCCCGAGGCCGCCCAGGCCCGAAGCTTCGGGGCCTCAGCTCCGAGAAGAACGCTGTTTCCGCCCGGACGCCGAGCTGCGCGGGAGCAGGACTTCCGTTTTACCGTTGTTGTGGCGGCAGCACGCGAGCCCCCACATTCCAGCTTTCGTGCACCTGGAGCCGTTTACCGGCGCTCTGAGACCACAGTCCCCTTCCTTAGGTCAGCCAAAAATACCTAATCTTAGCAGTGGTGCCGTAGCAACCCGACAAGTCTAGTGACGTCACAACTGCCCACCCAAACGGCCCCTCCCACCCAGAGAACGACCCAAGGGCCGACACAGCTGACGTTAGGCGGGGCGGGACTTCCGGGTCCTGTGAGCGCCGCCCGCCCCGCCCCGGCCCGCTCCCTGCCCGGTGGAGGGCCCTCCCCTCGCGTTGCAGTGCCTTTCGCTGCGGAAACTCCTGAGTGTCGTGAGGATGATCTCTGGCAGAAAAAGGGAAGCCTCGAGACAAATTAAAGACCAAACAGAAATTTTAAAAATTCTTCCCTCTTCTTAAAATTCTAGTCCTCAGGCTACTATTCTGTTTCTGCTATCTTGTACCAAACCTCTTAGGTCGCTTTCTAGAGTTCTTAGGAAGCATCTCCTAGGTTGATCTCCTAGAAAGGATGTGGCCAGAGAATTCGCAAACTTGATACAGTTTAACACGCACTGCCACTGCCTTCTCTGACACACCCCTTCTGAAGTCTGAGACCTAGAGATAGGTTGTTTTAAGATTGCCTTCCCTTCTAAGTGTTGTCCAAAACTGACTTCTTGTGTTCTGGGGCCGAAATTTGTAAGGCAAAGACAGAGCTTGGGTATAAAGAAGGAAGATAGTTTATTGCTTCGCCGGGCGAAGGAGGCTGCAGCAGGCTGATGCCTCCAAGACTGCAAGCCCGCCCAGGGCAAAAGGCTGAGGGATTCGGTAGGCATTACAGGATCTGGGCAGTTTCGACAGGAATCTGGTACGTGCTGTCCCCACGTTTCTTATGTTTTCAAGGTGGTCTCAGGACTAGCGCTGCCATGGGCCATCCAAGTCTCATTACTAAGTATCTACATCACCCAGTTCTTGGAACAAAAGGTTCTACAGAAAAACAAGTGAAAGGGAGGGGAGGCCTCAAGAATGAGGAAGAGTTGGGCGCCTGGGTGGCTCAGTTGGTTAGGCGACTGCCTTCGGCTCAGGTCGTGATCCCGGAGTCCCTGGATCGAGTCCCGCATCGGGCTCCCTGCTCGGCGGGGAGTCTGCTTCTCCCTCTGA